GATTAATAGATATAGACAGAATAATACTGCCTCCAGGGCACACCGAGCCAGCACGGAGACCAGGCATGGGGGCACACACCTGCAAATCCAGTGCTAGGGAGGCCGAAAACAGGAGGATCACTACAAGTCTGAGCTGCGCAGTGAGTCCCTGCACCAAATACATAAAAATGGAAAGAAAGAATCTTAAAATATCCTGAGTAATTTTATGGCAATAAGCTCAACATTTTAGATTAAATGGACAAATTAATTTTAAGACTCAAACTAGTAAAGCAGCCTCAAGAAAAATGACATAACCTGAACAACACCATATTTATTTTTTGAAATGTAATCCTTAGTTAAAAACTTTACTATAAGCAAAAACCAAGATCTAGATAGTTTCACTGGTAAAGTTTACCAAATATTGTAACTAAGAAAGAAATACCAATTCTTACAGAATTTGAAAATGAAGAGATGTTCTGAACTCATTCTGTGACAGAAGAATTAATTATCCTGGTGCCAAAACTAGACAAATAAATTACAGAAAACAGTACCAGACTACTATTCTTTATGAACATCTCTGCAAGTCTTCTAATTGGTATTTTAGAAAATCTAAATTTTTACAAACCTTTTATCTATTTATTTGGAACAAGGTCTCACTATGCAGCTTGGACTCATAGTGATCTTTCTGTTTCAGCCTCCCCAGAGCTGAGATTACAGGCGTGCGCCTCTATGCCCATGGCTGGCATGGCATGCTCAGGGTTCTGGGCCTGGCATGGCAGGAGGTACCACGGATTAAACCCAGGTCCTTGCACCTGCCAAGCAGGTGCTTAGACCACCATGCTATCTCCCCAACCATAGAAAATTTAATCAAAGAATATTTTTTAAAGGTAATAAACACAGAGATAAATCTTTCGGAAAAACAAAGGAGACCAGAGTCAGAAGAAAAGGGGAGGGAGAAGAGAAGAAGGTGGCGAAAAAATAATTAAGACGTGTGATACACATTCACCAGCTCCCTACAAGGAATGTAGTCCTGATGTGCTGTAAATGTACTAATAAAATTTTAAATGTAAAAAGATAATAGATACATCATGATCAAATGGAGCTTACCTCGGGAATGCAATGTGAGTTTGACTTCCAAAACTCCTTTACTGTGATTCACCACATTTGCAAATTACCATGGAACCACCACAATCAAGACTGAGAAATTTTATTACACAGGAAATTCCCTGGTGTCTCCAGTGAGACTTTTCTTCTGTATCCCAGTCCTTTGCAATCACTGGTCTGTTTCCTGTCCTTACAGCTTTGCCCTTTAAAGATGTTATATAAATCCTATTTATATGAACAATTACATACAAATAATGTTTTGCGTTTGGTTAGTTGTGCAGTCAAGCTTTGCATTCTTTATGACTCAATAGTTCGTTCATTTTCATTATGGCATAATCTTCCACTGTACAGATGCATCGCCATGCTTCACCCATTCCCTAGTTGAAAGACATGTGGCTCGCTTTCCATTTGGAGTGATTATCAGTAAAGATCCTAGAAACCTTGGAATATCTATGTATAGAGCTGAACAAATTTTCATAAGTAATACAGACACTTATCATTTAGTGACCAAGTCACATTCCTGCAACTAGGTTGTTAGATGACTTGATTAATAAGTGAGGAATTATACATACTGTGAGCATTATAATATTCAGAACAAATCAATAGTCAAAAGAAACTTCAACCTGGTGATTTTGATTCTATTTGCATAACTCTTACACGCAGTGCTGTAATAACTACAGGTCTGTATAATACAATCAGCAAAAATTACAGAATTGTATAAACAAGGTATACTACACAAAAAAGCATTTTGGTTTTATAAGTGGTAGGTACAGAACTGTACAAAAAATAAGACAGGCCATAAGTCCAAACAGTGGGTCAGAAGTCTGAACAGTTGTTAAACAGGTGGTTAAATGAGGACAATCTATATTAAACATCATAATCTGAGAATCATTCAACAAAAACAATTTGTTTTTCTAAAGAGCACACGCTCTCCAATAATCTTTAAGATAAACTCCAGAAGCCAACAACAAATCATCACATCAGCTGGTTTTAGGTAATATGTGTTGATCCCTCACATATCAGAAAAGGCAGATATGGAAATTATTCAGAAAAGCCAAGCTACCTTATTATATAATAATAATAAAGAAAATGCTCATCAATAATCATGATTAAAAAATAGATGCAATCTTGATATGATGTGTAGCAAATCAATAAAGTGTCTATTTCTATGTTTCTTCACATGCTCTTTCCTGGCATCTTAGCAGCTTCCATGAATTCTTCAAGGTTGCACTGATTGAAGAATTGATACTCCCAGAAGCTATGTTTTGAACGTGCAGTTTGGCTTATCCATGAAGGAGCTTCTTCAGGTCTTTGTAAAGGAGCAATGAAACTAAAATACTACTAATAAGGTATCACAGAACCATGAACCTGCTTCCCTCTGAAAATGTCACTGGAAATGCCAAATATTTTTGACAGTGAAATTGGCATAAATTGAGCCACTGATCTGACTGCCTTTGCAGTAAATTCCTTGGAGGATAGAAAGATATATAAAACTTGTAGTAAAGGAGATTGCTGGCCAGGAGTATAAGATAAAAATTAAACATAGAAAAAATTAGACATTCAGGAATAACAATGATGATTAATTGTTTTCAGGTTCTGGTGATTCAGATATATTGATATATATTCATCCATAGGACATGAGACATTTTTATATATCAAAAAGTTTTAAAGGTATCACTTCTAGTGAGTTTGTTTATATCTGAGAAATGAATTTAACTGCAAATGAATTTTTTTTATTATTACCCAAGGAACTCTTGGAAGCAAACAGTCCTTAGAAGTAAGCCAAATAAAAAGAGAGTGTGGAAAGCAAATAGTTCACATTTCTCTGGCCCTTGGCACACTCTTCTGCCTGTGTCATATGTGTTCAACAGGTGTCATAAAACCATGCTCCAAATTACTCCCTTCTGCATCAAAACAAGCAAACTGCACATTTTTTGGATACTGAGGCAAAGAAAGCAATCTCACATTAAGGTTGCCTCAACTTCAAAAAATGTCAGGTAGCCTATTTTCCTATCATCAGACATTATAGAAATAATAATATTTTGAAGACATTTGTCTCTTACTAAATCTTGTGCTTATTTGCACAACATGCTTAGTGAATGTACAGTGCTCTACAGTACAGTGCTGTACAGTAAAAGCCATAGTACTGTATGAACAAGGTGTACAGTACCAAAAAAAGGACACTGAGACTCTATGAACAAGATACACAGAACTAAACAAAAAAAAAGACAAGTCCCAGCAGCGGATCATAAATCAGAGCCCTGCAACTCTTCCTTCAACAAGTAGGTCATTAAGCGAGAATGTCTTCACATCAACCTAACTTCCAATTTAAGATACAGAACACTTGCACATTCTCTCTTCTTAACAGCCACCTCCCTTGAACTTCTACTTTGATTTCCATCACACTGGCTTTTCCCCAGTACCAGAATTTCACACAAAAAGACTTATGCAGGACAGACAGAGTTTATTCCTTTTGTCCTGTCTTAGTTACTCTTCTCGCCTTGCTGGGCCAAAATACCCAACACCCCAAATTAAGGAAGGGAAAAATTTATTCAACTCACAGTTACTGGAAGTTTCAGTCCATACACAGCTGGCTCCAACGCAGAGCGGCGCACGGCAGAGAGCAGCTTTTCATGGCAGCAGCAAAAAACAAAAGATCAAAGGGTGGGAGGGCAGCTCTGGCAGCTGGCTAGCCTCTTTCCCTTCCTCACACTGTGATGCAGAGTACCCAGGGCAGGTTCGGCACCCACACCCACGATAATCAATCACAAACTCCAGAAGCTGTCCCATGACTGCATGAGGCTTGGTGGGGGATATAGAACGTGCAAGTGTTCTGTATCTTAAATTGGAAGTTAGGTTGATGTGAAGACATACTCGCTTAACGACCTACTTGTTGAAGGAAGAGTTGCAGGGCTCAGATTTATGATCCTAGACACAAACCATAACATGTCCCAAGAGGAATTAGTAAGCAACTGAAGACTTTAAAGAAGGATATTAGCATGACCTGGTCTGCATTTGTGATTAACCTTTTTGGCTACTGTGTAAAGAACAATGAAGAAGTGATCATGTCGTGCTTACGTATTCTTTTTCGTCTCATCTTTTCAGGCACGGGTTAATGAATAAATAAAATTTTTAGGCAAACCAGAAAAAGAAAATCTAGATTTGCAGGCTAGCTTCAAGGTGTTTCTTAAAGCTGGATTTAGAGACGCCCTGGGGCGCCAGAGCTGCTCCTGTGCTTCCGGCTATGCACAGCAGATGGCCCCAGAGCCCGGTTCCTGGCGGAGTCAGAGGGATGGACTGGGAGCCTGGCGCCGCCTGGCGATTCTTGCAGAGAGCTGCCAGGAGCGCAGCGGTCAGGTGGGCGCTCAAATTGGGCAGCGGAGAAGATCTGCCAGGGATGGCACGCTCCAGCTCCTGCTGCACCTGGAGCTGGCCCGGCCCTTGTGCCCTCCTTCGACTCTTAGCAGAGGTGCCTGAGGCCGGAAAAGGCCGAAGTTCTGCGGGGCACACACTGGTCTGCCCCGGGGCAGTGCACTCCTTGGGGACATGGTGTGGCTACAGCGCACGGTGGGCGCAGGGATGGCGGCGCTGGTGGGAGGCCGCCCACTACAGAGGGTGGCTCGGGAAGTTGAAAAGAAAGGAGAGGAGAGTCTAGATGGGGTGTGGGGAAAAGTCGTAGAAAGAACGCGCTGGGCCGCCACCAAGCCGGGGCTGGGTGTCCGGGAACGCATGAAGCGCGCAGCATGGCTCGGGCCAAGGAACGCGAGGAGTAGGCTTGTTTGCATGGGAAGTTGCCTAGCGAAGCGGAGCACTTGAGAGCCTCTTCTCCCGCTCCAGCTTGCGCCCGGGTGGTGAGGTCACAGCACTCCGCTCCGAGCCCTGCCTCCTCGCGCCCCTCCCGCTCGCATCTGCTCCAGCCCGGGAGAGCAGAAGTCGCCGCAGCGGAGAATGAGGCGGCCGCGTGTGATGGAGAAGTAGCCTCGGGGGCCGTGGAAAATGGGGCCGGAGCTGCTGCTGCGGCTGGCACTGCTGCTCCTCCTGCCTGGGAGCCTGGCCGAGAAGGGGTGTCCGTCCCCACCTTGCGAATGCCACCAGGAGGATGACTTTAGAGTCACCTGCAAGGATATCCACCTGATCCCCAGCCTGCCGCCCAGGACCGAGACTCTGTGAGTAGCCGGGAGAGGAGAAAGGGTAGGACCAGAGACTCAGGGTCCTGCAAAGGTGTGCAGAAGTACACAGAGAAGCCTGCGACCAGGCCAAAGGGGGTGCGCGTGCGGGTGTGAGGAAACTCTCAGGCGTCCACGCTTGGGAAGGTATTATTGCCGACACCCGCGTGAAGTGTAACACAGTCACAAAACGCGGTGCAAGATACGGCGAGGTGTCCTTTTCCGCAGAGCTGGCTGATAGGTAGGCGCTTTGCCTACCCTGCCCCGGCTGAACCTTAGTTTCACTTCAGATATTAGGACGATGAAAAGCAAACTCAAAAACTTTCTTAGTTCTTTTCTTGGGCAGTTATTAAAAATTACCCTCCAAAAGTGTCTATTTTAGTCTTTGTAGGTAAGTTCTTGTCTTAGTATTTCTGGAGTACTTGTGAAAAATTATCAGGGACCCCTTTTATAAAGTTCCTTTTACATAGTGTGTATGGTTACTTAGTTGTGAGCTACCGACCCCTACAGCACATCTAGAACCTCCTTTGTGACAGAAGTGGTAGTAGACAGAGATGACATTTCATAAACTGCTTTTTAAAAATCTGTGTGCTATGCCTGTATCTGGTAATCTGAGCAACTACTCTGAAGATAACAATATGCAATGCAATAACCATTGTTGATTTTCTATCATCTTGTTTTGAAATTCTGTATTGGTTTTATTGGGTTTTTTTTCTTTTGACTTAAAAAATAATAAAATAAAATCTGGGGGTAAAAGCCTAGAAATGGAAAGAAAAAAATAAAATAAAATTTGCATGATAAATGTCATTAAATCAGAAACTTGGTGGCAACTAAGATTTTACACACACACATTTCTTAGTAAAAATGTACATCAGTCATTGAAAAGTCAGCTGTAGATAAGACCAGGGTAAAAAGGCTCTCTTGATTGGTTAAAAATAGAATAGAAAGAATGGCAGAACAACCTAGACTAGTTCAAACCAGTCAAGCAAAGAAAGTGCACACTGTTTAAGAAAGTGTAAATAGATGAAAAGCAATTGTTGTTCAGGATTTTCTCACAGATTTAGCTTAAAAGAACATTCAGCAGTAAAAAAAAAAAAAAAAAAAAAAAAAAAAAAAAAAAAAAAAAAAGAGGGCCAGGGGAAGCTCAGCAGCATGAGCACCTGCCTAACAGTAAATAAAGAGCATTTCAGCCTAGCTAAGTATTTCTGAGTTCTGAGAGACCCTTGTCTCCTATCTCCCCGGATGAATGACTATGATAAAGGTCAAGTGGTGCTTCATTCTCCAAACTCTCATTACATAATAAAGTAAGTTTTCATCATTTTTGTGAGGAATCCCCCACATTGGCTCCATATAACCTCCAGAATAAAACTTCTTTTGAACCATCTTCAAGATCCATCAAGACCTTCAAGATCCATCAAATGTCATTGCTCCTAATTTCTCTGACGCCCAATTTCTGCTTAACAGACCTGTTGATGTGTGCCCCAAAGCTCCCTGCTCCTCCACACACCCTTGCCTCCCATTCTGTCCCCCACCTGAATCCCACTTTGCATTCTTCATCCAGCTCATGCCTTTTAGAAGATCCAGGTATGGTGTGGATTCCTGCAGGAAGTCTCTCCTCATACAACACCCTTAGACTACGTGAGCTATCCTCCCTCCACAGTCTGGGTCTGAATGTGTCCTTTGCCTTCACGCCCCATGTGCTTTCCTGTGGTTCCTTTTCACGTGCCTCCCCAAGCAGACATGAGCTCCTCTAACACAGGCACCCTGAATTCCTCAAGCCCAGCACAGGACCTGGAACTACTTCACTTCTCAAAAAAACCTTAAGTAAATGAAGGAATGAATGAATGAATGAATGAATGAGTACATGATCTCAGATTGTCCACGGTGTAGACACTGCAAGAAAGATGCTCTTCTTCAGAGAGTTATCAGTGGCAGAAACTCCCATCATTGAAGATAAATGTGGCTCTGAGAGCATGAAGGAACTGAAATTGTCCTATTTAAAATTCCACGGTGGGACCGGGGAGATAGTTGAGTAGAGTAAGCACTTGCCTGGCAAGCGCAAGGGCCTGATTTCAATCCCCAATTCCACCAAAAATAATAATAATAATAATAATAATAATAAATACAATTCCACTGTGAGGCTGGGGATATAGCTCAGCAGCACAGCGCCTGCCTGGCAAAATGCAAGATCCTGAGTTTGATTCCCTGGTACACACCCACCACCACTATCAAACAGAAATGTTCTTAAAATTCCACCAAATGTTAAGAAGAGGGAATATCAAAAAGCAAGCTGTGGAATAGCAGCAGGAAAGCTGTGTTCTCTGTTCTCTTCATTACCTCTCTGAGAACCAAGTGGCATCATTTATTTGGAAGAAGTCAGTTTTTCTTCTGATCAATTCTAAAGGATTCATTTGAAGCTTTCTGATATCCTGATGCTAATGAGCGCCATCTGAAGGGAACCACTGAACCACAGTGACAACACAAGTAGCCATTAGGAGAACCTGACCTTGCCAATAATGAGGAGCAAGTTCCTAAAGAATGAAGCCTTCCAAGAGAAGGAAAAGAACATTGATGAAAAGCCTGGGTACTTATGCTATACTTACTTAGCAGAGATGGCAACCTGCTGGATGTTCCTGCCCAAGATTCATGTTATTCATGATGTGATCCCTTTCAGTTTTTGAAGAGCTCCCACTGGCCGAAAATGTAAAGCCTTGAGCTTTCACAAAGTTATTTGCCTTATATCTATATCCTATATCAAAATGCTATATGAATTGTTTTAAGCATTTTGCAAATTATTCCAGTGTGGAGAACAATTCTTCCTAAGCCTTATCTTCTACCCTGTTACTATGGTGTCAGAAGGTCATAAGGCATCCTCTTTCTCTGCTACACCTACACATGCCCCATGGTGTTAGTGATGGGTGGGAGAAAGTTACAGTGCTTGTGGTAATCAGAGAAGAGGTGGTTGTGAATCTTGTTGTCCCTGGGCTCCTCTTGAGGGGCAGGACACCCTCTCATTATATAACAGTGGCTTTACCTGGTGGGAGGTGAGGGTGAGCTGCTATGCCTCCTCCCCAGTGGGACATTCTACAATCCTTGGTAGGCAGAAAGTGTGAAAAAATTACTCTTCCCAATTGAGAAGTACTGATTTAAGGAAATTGAAATGCCATGAGAGAGTATACCTAAATCTTTGCATAGGATATAGACCATATGACTTTAAAAGAAAACTTAGAAAATTAACTCAGTGGACTAAAATGCCTGCCTAGGCAGGTGCAGGGACTGGGGTTTGATCCCCTGTGTGCTGTGCTAGCCCTACCCCTGGGCTATGCTGAGTCAGTGATTGAGACTAGGAATGGTGGCATGTGCCTGTAATCCCAGCACTTGGGAAGCTGAAAACAGGAGGATTACTGCAAGTCCGATCTGTGTAGTGAGACCCTGTAGACCCTGTACTGAATACATAAAAAAAGAAGAACAAGAAAGTTACCACTATGCCTGAGAGGACCCTCACTTCTCTGAAGAGAAAGTGGATGGATCTGTATGGATTCTTCCTCAAGGAAATACTGCAACAGGAGGGGTGGCACAGGCCTATAGTCTCGGCAGTTGGGTGGCTGAGTAACAAGGATTGCAAGTTTGAGCCCTGCCCGGAAAATGTAGTGACTTAGTGAGATTTTGTCTCAAAATATAAAAGGATTGGAGATGTGGCTCAGTGCAAAAGCCCTGGATTCATTTTCTAGTATTGGGTGGTGGGGGGATACAATACAGGGCAGGAGGGGAAAGGAGAAGAGGAAAAAGAAGAAGGAAGAAGAGGAGGAGGAGGGAGGGGTAGAAGAAAGAAAGAAGAAAGGAAATTGCTGGCTTAATTTGCTTTGTCCTTTTAACCTTTCTGCTTGTAGTTTCATGCATTTGCTGCACTGAATCCCCAGACTCTAAGCACGTAGTAAATGCTTTATCCCGCCCCCCACACACACATGCTTGTACTCCTTCTGAAGGAGCTGCAGTTGCTGTTGTGGTTTTGAGGTTCTGTCTTCAGTTATTTGCATTCTGCATGTACTACTCTAAAAGACGGACTATCTCACATTTTTTCCCAGTACTGGTGATTAAAGCCAATGCTTTACACATGCTGGGTAAGCCCTCTACTACTTACCTACATCCTGAGGTCACTATCCCTCCGTCTGGATTGCTCTTCTCTCACTGTTGAGACAAAATACCTGACACCCAGAATCAAGGAAGGAAAGGTTTATTTAGCACACAGTTTGTGGAGGTTTCAGTTCATATTCCACTGGCTCCAAAGCAAGGTGACAAATAGCAGAGGGTGACAGTTCATGGCCACAGGAAACAGCACAAGCAACAAGAGCACAAGGGGGAGGAGCGAAAGACTGAACCTCTTTCTGTCCCTTATATTGTATGCAGGCTACCTACCCTAAGGTGGGTGTAGCACTCACACCCAAAATCCCAGCACTAGACCATGAATCAGTCACAAACTCTAGATTCAGCCACCTCTGAAAAGCACCCCTCCCTCCCCCTGTGACTGCATGAGGCTTTGGGGGGACATCCAGACACAAGCCGTAGCACCCTCTATTTTCTAAACTGGACAAACACTTTGGGATTTTTTCCCTGTGTTTTATCTACACTATTCTACACTCAGTATGTTTAAGTACTGTTGTAAGTGAGACTTTTGGGCAACATTTCTCTGAATCCTAACATACCTCTATTTGAATACCCCTGGAATTTTATTCAAAGAGGTGATGGTGTGAATGCCCAGAGTGGCAGACACTGTCAGAGACAGTGTGTGTTTTGAGAGCTCACCCTCACAAATCAGATTAGCTCCACTGAGGCCCAAATCCAGAAGGTCTAGTCCTTTCCATCTGTGTGAACAAACCCTGGCTGGCCTGGAGGCCACATCTTAATACCTTGAATTAATCTGATCTGAACATCATGCCTCATTTATCAAAAGAGTTTTCTTTTTTAAATGTATTCAGATCATAGGAATTGCTCCCTTGGAC